TGCATAACCTCACATTCTTTTAGTTCTCCTGAATGTCCTGACTCTTCTTCCAAAGGTCATAAACTCTTCTTTTTCTCCTGAGTTCCACCCAAAGCTTTCTGTTCAGCAAGGCCAGTCTTCCTCCCCACCAGCCTGCTTCTAGTCTTTAAGATTTCCATATTGAAGAATGAGCTTCCTGGACTCCTTTGCCCTTCAGGACTGCCTCATAAGGGAGTCTGTCAGCCAAGGTCCTAAAAGACCAAAGTCTGCCCTTCAGAAGTCTGAGGTGGCAGTTCTGCTGACTCTCCTTACTTTTCCAAGAATCAAAAACTCTATGATTTTGTGATTTCTATGCCCAAGACAGACACCAACCATCACATCACCCACAAGTGCTGTGCAGGTCCAGCCAGGTGCCTTTCCTCTTTAGTTGACTCACCAGCTGTGTCAGGAAGATATCTCACACTTACTCCGGAACCTCCTAGGCAGTTTCCTCTCTGCTTTACTCCATTTCCAGCAGACATCTGGTAAGTTGAGGTACCCAATGAAAATAAGGGCTAGTGACTGTGAGATTTCTCCCAGTTACTTATAGAATATTTCCCATGCCTCGTCATCCTGGTTGGGTAATCTGTAACACAATCCCCCCATAATGTCTGCCTTATTGGCATTCCCTCTGATTCTTCTTCATAAACACTCAAGCCTGTCATCACCATCATTAAGTTCCAGACAATTGAAACTTTCCCTAACATACATGCCTATTCCTTCTGAGGGGTTTTTAGCTGTCCACTGCAGAGCTATGGATGACCTCTTTTGCCCCTTGATTTGGTGACATAAGAATACGGAACATAGCTTAAATGCTCTTTCCGTTTCCTGGCTGAGTTGAGGTACACAGACAAATAAGCAAGTCATTCCTCAGTTTTAAAGAAGTACTACATGGTGATTTCATGCTGATGGTTGTTTTGCATATTGTCCTTTACTTCCTCCCCAACAGCTGCTCATTTTCCTGTAGGGTTTATGGAGAATGTCATACTTGCTATTTCTCTGCCAAAACCCTCCTTCCTTCTTTTTCCAATTCTCAGCCCACAGAAAGCTTTCATAAAGGTCATGCAGGCACATGTGATATCAATGTTTGTGTGAATACATGCTTGTATGCATATTCATAGCACTTTCACATTTGACAAATGTTCCAACAAACATAATTTATCTCATGTAAGTACTTTTAAGCAAATAAATAGGGTCATAATTATTATGGAAATATTTTTCTGTATTTTGTGGAAAATACCTGCAGGTATGATAGCATTTTGCTAGCAACAATCAGTATAAATGAATTTGTCATGTGATGAAAACTGAAGGCAATGAACAACTTAATTTCATGAAGCTATACCAGCATATAGACCAGCCAGGCATTCTTAGATTATTGAGCATGTACTGTATATAGACTAACCTTATAAAGAGCATAAGTTGCTTGTACAGAAGCTCAGATATTTCAAGCCTCTAGCACTTCAGTTTGTTGTTTTTTTTTTTTACTGAGAGCCAAATCTGCAACAATTTATCATAAATCAAACTCCTTTTAAAAACTGATCCCTCAACCCCTTTCCTTAGTTTCATGAGCTCACAATGAAAGAAATGATGCTTCTGGCATAAGAAATGTCCATTTCAAATACTGTGTCTTACAGGACATGACCAGGAAAAAATGTAGATCAACAGGAGGTAAACAGGGAAAAAAAAAACCAAAACAAACAAAACCGAAGTTAAAAAGACCTTCATTTATTCTCTACAAGTACGAAAGATCTGGCAGGTTTAGGTGAATTTCTCTGTAGGGTTCCATAGCCTTGTATGAACTTCAGAGGTACAGTGTGAATCCCTGCAATTTTTTTTTAGTTTACCATATTTTTCCACTTCTAGGAGTCAAGGGACAGATACTAAGCAGTACTTCTGTGGGAGTAGAAGCTAACTAGCATCCTACTTGGGCTAGCATAGTCTGGCATGTTCAATCTTCAGAAATATTAGTTACAATTTTATTAGCAGAAAATTAATAAGCTAGAGACTGAAAAAAATAAAAATTTATATTAGGACAACAGTAAAAATTGCAGAAAATACAGAAGCTAAAAGTCAGGAGGTAGTTTTGGCCATTTAGATGTATTGACAAAGCACAGACCAGTGGATTCTGTTATCTTTTTTTCTTTCCACTCTTTGGCTATAATAGCTGCTTATAAGGAAAGCTTGCTGAAGTCTTGCTTAGCATATTAGGGTCTGAGTCTTGTTATGTGAATATTACGCAGATTTATAAAGAACCAAATGAGGTTGCAAGCTAGAGAGAAGAAATACATAGTTAAATGACTGCTTTTGTATTACGGGACCTAGCATATAAACATCTCTGTATGATGATTTTTAAAACACAGAGTGAAAGCTAAACTCTGCAAGCTTTCTTCTCCCAGGTATATGGCTACCAATTAGTATGTGACTAAGAATAAATTTATTTCTTAATTAATATTTTTTTCTAAATATCATTCTCATAATTTCATTTTATTTACTGTTATCTTTAGCTTTTGGCTCTTCCCTCCACTCGTCATAATCTCATCACAGTCATCAGGTTTTATTATATTTTCTTGTTTTCCAATATGGCTAACATACTCCTTCTGAGAACATGTTTAGAACTCATTTGTAATCACAAAATACAAGCCAGTCTGTTGGATCTCAACAATTTAAATCAAGGGCAAAAGAGTCTTTACTGTGCTCTCCTATCAAACAGATTAGAAAACCAACTCTTTAACATGTTATAGGGTAACTACATTAGCTACATTCTCAGAAACATTTTTTGCAGGTAAATTTATTAGAGAAAAAGCTGATCAATGGCTAATTTAAGTCTAAAAGAGAAGCACTTTAAGATTTGTATTTATTAGGTAAGAAAATGAATAAAAAGCTTCTGTTTCAGCTTTTGGAAAGGAAAATGGTCTTCGTAAGTCAGGAAACACATCTCAACACTAAACAGGTAGCATGTTACAAGTGGCTACTCTTATTTCATTAAAAGAATAATATGATGCAAAAGTTAATTCTGATGGCATAAGTCTATGTAGGTGGGAAATAATGGAGATATCCTTTTACATTAATTTGTGTTGCAAGAATCAATAAAGTAGCTGTCTTTAAAAAAAAAAAAAAGAGGAAAGATACAAGTCTGGCTTTTCTCTCTCCCTCTCAAAACTAAGTCAAAGCTAAATAACCTGCTGGACTAGATGAAAACCTTTGAAACCTAATCTTTCCTGAGATAAGTCTGCCTTATTTTTGTTAGTATTCCTATTATCCTTTTATTGCATACAATATCTGTATGCTCTTTCCCCATGCAAAGTCTTCATCTTTGTGACAGTATTGGAGTCTCGTAACAATCAAGGCTGAAGTCACCATCAGGAATAGCATTCCTAGTAATTAGTAAGCTATTTGCAGTGGTGTCAGCAGGGAAGATATATTTGAAGAAACCAACATTTCTACGCACACTGTCAGTACTGGTTATAATATTTACAAGGAAGATAAATTCTTCCAAACTATACAGAATTGGAGTTAAAAATCAGAGTATGATTTTTTATAAAATGACAGAACCAGGTAACAAAACACTTAAATGAATGCTTAAATGGAGCCCTTTTCTTGAGTGCATTGTCTTTGTAAGCATGTGTTTAATTTACACTTATTTATGTTAGGTTTACTGATTTCTAAGCACCTTAAATGAGATGTCAAGCTTTCCTGACTGACAGTGAAAGAAATTGCTATTGGGAGTAGCTGTATTACTGGATGAAGAAATAATCAAAGAGAGCAAATTTTTGTGTTGCTTGTGCACTCAGATATGCACCTACTGAGCACGTTTTAACACATTGCACACCCTAAACTTTATGTTTTAAGGTAATCTGTCATTACAGTGGTAGGAAACAGTCAATGCAATTATTAATGAATTACCAATGCAATATCAATGAATTACCATGTGGCTATGAAAAGATTTTTTAAAACTGTTTTTTCATAAAAATCAATAAGTTGTGAACAGTGCATGCAGGACCTGTAGAATCCATACCACTTTCTCCTTGTTCTAGTTTCCAAGTAAGTGATAAAGTGGGGTATCCGGCAATTTTATTAACCAGATTTGATTGATCCAATGCTCTGACGTGCAGATGTTTACTTTCAGTTTAACAAAAAATGAGATAGCAAGCCAGCATATCAGAACAATCAGAAATTCACCTGCAAAACTTGAGGTGTTAGCAGCCCTCTCAAGTTGAAACATTTTCTCAGTGACTCTTAGTCATGAGAAAATGATAATTTTAACTTTTTCAAGCATAGTTGTTCATTTTTAGCATACATCCCACCCACATAGAAGCAGCTTGAACTGAACTGCTAGGCCTTTTCTGCTGGGATCATATTTGTCATTATGCAAGCTGATATTGAATTGAAGGACTGTCAACTTTTACTTCTGTTCATCATGTACATATTCTATGTCCACATTATTTATTCAGACCAGGATTTCTTGTTCATAGGTTTCTTAGATGAAACAGGTCACTGCTGAAAATTGGGCTTTTCTATTCACGTGGAATTGTTCGATGCTACCCTAAGTGAAAGTATGTGTATTTTTTTAGTAGAACAGTATTTGCTCATGTAGAGAAGAATGTGATTCCAGCAAGTATGTAAGGAAAGCGGAAAGTAAGATAGCTGAATGTGTAGGACATATAAACTCTACTACTGAATAAGCAAAACTTGTTACTTTTACAATTGCTATGGTCCACTTACTAGGATGATTTCTAGTAGCAATAAAATAAATGTTTTCTGAAGGGAAGAAATATTGTGGTTTGTGTTGTCTGAAAATAACTGTGTAGCATATTGTTCCAGTTGTCATTTCTCTTTTACAGTTTAAGGACCATCACAATACATACCTAAGGCTAGAAAGGAAAAGAAAGTAAATTTTTTTGTTCTCTTATGTTATGTTTTTATTAAAACACATTTAGCTCAGATAGATAAAATGCTATTCAACAAATGCAAGTCAGTGGTTCTGCCACTTTGTCATATGATTTATTCACTTCATTCTCGTAGTATTCAGACATCATGAACAGAATATATTATTCAACAAATACCAACAATTACTCCTTGAATAATTTAGTTGATGATGGTTTATTCTTGTGTTAAGGTGTCCTGGGTTCAGCAGTAGCAGTCATTTTTCTCCTTCTTGGTAGCTGGTGTAGTGCAGTGTTTTGACTTTCAGCTCGGGAACAGAGCTGATAACAAGGATGTTTTGGTTTGGCCAAGGACTTTGTGAGCCTCATGCTCTGCCAGGGAGGAGGGGAAGCCAGGAGGAAGCAGAGACAGGACACCTGACCCAAACTGACCAAAGAGGTATTCCATACCACAGCACGTCATGCCCAGGATGTAACTGGGGTTAGCTGGAAGGCCTGGGAGACTGCAGGGTTGGAGGAGGTATCGGTCGGTGCTTGGTCGGGCCGGGGGGGCGAGTTATCGGTCGGCTGGTGGTGAGATGATGTATTCTCTTCCCTTGTTATTTCCTTTATCATTATTATCATTGGTGGTAGCAGCAGTGATTTGTGTTATACCTTAGTTACTAAACTGTTCTTATCTCAACCCGTGGGAGTTGCATTCTTTTTGATTCTCCTCTCCGTCCCTCCGGGAGTAGGGGGAGGAAAAGAAGGGGGGGGGGGGGTGAGTGAACAAGTTGCCTGACTGGGTTTAAACCACAACATAAGGTCAGCTCCATGTGAGGGGACTAATGCTGGTGCACAGCCTTTTTTCTTCTGGACCTTTATGACAAGCTGATGTAAACCAAACCCTTTTGTAGCTCAGAGGGAGCTAAAATGCATCATGATGCATTCTGAATCTTGTAGAAGAAAAAATTATTTGGTATCTATGAACTATTTAATTACCACCTGGATTTGATTGTAGTAAGTAATGTACAAACACAAAGTACAGAATGACTAACTTCAAATGGGTGAGTGCTAAATACAGCAGGTAATTGAAGTAGAAACATGAATAATAAGACAGCCCATCTGAAAAAAAAAAAAAAAGATGAACTGAGAGAAAAAATAGAAAGTGAAACAAGAATTCAAGTAAGATCAAAATGTCAGAACTTAATATGCTTAATTTTTGGTATTTCTAAATAAAATACATAAAGATCTCTATGATTTGACTGCAGCTACATCTTCATCTATTGAGTCAAAATAGTTTGTGTGAGACTAGGTCATCTTATGTCTTCCCAGATAGCCCCTTCAAGGAGTCAGAAAATTCATATGTATTCAGTAAAGCAGTATTCTCTAGATCTGCAAAAGATTTGTTAGATATAAATGAACGACCCAGCTCAGCTGATTTACTTGCCTGTCCCAAAACACTCAAGTAATATAATATAAAGTAAAATACCACAGCAGGATTATGTATGCTTTATAATAGGATCCCTCTCACACTGTAACTCACCAGAAACACATTACCAGATGTGGTGACCTGATGCATCTGGGAATATGCCTCCCAGACAACAGGACGTATAAGCATATGACAATTATTTAATTGGACACATCAAATGCCTTTTGATAGGATCCCCATATTTTATGACTCACTAAATAGAGTTTATTTAGACATTTACAATGTCTCTGTGACAGTAAAAGGCCTGCACACAAGAAATCTGGAAAGGAATTAACCAAAAAATAGTGATGAATCCTTTGGTTTCATCACAAGATCAATCTTTTTTCCCATGTACTAGCATATGAATTAATTATGTTCTTGCAGAGATACTACATACCACATACCGAATGGCTTGGTACTACTGATGGGTAGTATCTTCCTTGAGAGTCAGTTGCTGTTTCCTTAAAATGTTTACTAAATGTAGACCTTCATCAAGGTGAGGCTGTCTTCTGTTTAGATAAAATGATTATTAAGTGTTTGCTTTTAAGATTGTAATAACCTCTGTATCAGTTCTCCTGCAAGTACATAATTAACCTCTCAGCCCACCCTGCAGTAATAAGTGTGATAGACAGGAAATATATTAGGAAAGAACCTGTGTGTGATATGCCTGCAAGCACTGCTTTACCCTTCAACTATTTTTGTTTTTAATTAGCACTCAGGTAATAGCAGACCTTAATGAATTAGCATATAACTGTTATCAATATACATTATTTTTTCATTCTGAACTGCTCATTCAGATGAGATTTGGAAGATCTGCTCTAGGTGTTTTGGAAAAGAAAACAGCCTAAAATAAAATTGACATACACTTTGAAAAGTCCAGGATTTCCAGTATTTGCCAAGGCTTTATTGATAAGTAAAATGTAGCATGAACTCCTAAGAAAAAAATCCTGAAGAAGAAAGTCTGGCAAAAACATTATCATCTCAAAAATGTTAACATCAGAAAACTAAAGTGCTTATGAGTCATATGAAAAATGTGCACAAAATCTAGCTTTGAAATTAGACACTGTCACAGCTACCACAGGGCAAAATGCATATTTGGTGGAATTGATGGTCTGAAGGTATCCGAGTGAGGCGAGGGTTTGTTTGCACCTGCTGTTTTTGTAAGCACTTCACCATTCAATGTCAAATGAATGTACTCATTTATCTGAGTACCTTTTCACTAAATAAAATTTTAGAGGGTTCATTTTGCAGTATCCCTTTTAACAGTCAAGAAATGGGTGGTAGCGTAGCGACTATATCTTCTAAATCTTAGAGACCAACTCTTCTCCTTTACAAGATTAATGGAAATAATAAAACAGCCAACTGGAAAAAAGAAAACAAAAACCAAACAAACCAAGTCTTATGATGTGAAGCTGGAAGAGCTCAATTTATTAAATAGAGTGGTTGAGGGGTGTCTTGGTCACTGTGAATTGGCACTGACAAATACTTGATAGTAGAGGTTTTTCAGTCTTGGAGACAAAGACCTAACACAATCAAATGGCTGGAAGCTAGACAAATTTAACCTTGGAACAGCACAATAACTTTATTTTTCTAGCAGTAAAGGCAATTAAACATTGGAAAACACACCAGAGCTTTGAATCCCTAAAGAATATTAGATGTCTTTCTAAAACAGGATGCTTTCATCTGATTTCTTTGGAAAAAAAATATGGCCTGAAAGAAACCCCAGGAAATCAAACTTCTTCAAAATAAGATCAGATCACAGTTTGTGAGTAAGAGGACTACACATGCTACAGTATCCAATGTCTTCTAGTAGTAGCAAATCTAGTAGACACAAATTATGTGACACAGGGGCAGTTCATGTGGGTTGAGAGCACACTAGGATGGCTATACTATCATAGAAACAGTGCAAATAAATATAGACAGTTCTGCACACTGCATTACAACCGTATGGATTTCTCTATCATAAAAACCCTTTGCAAAATTTTCCAGCAAAGGTGAAGAATGTGTCTTCTGCTTTGAGATCTGTTGATGGTATTACCAGTTTTACTTCTTGCAAGTCCACCCAGTATCCACTATGACTTGTTGTTGAAATTCTGGCCCCTCTACATGAAATGGTGATGAATCGCTTTCTCCACACAGTCACATTTTAGTACACCAGATGGAATAACCATTCTTTGTGGTGGCTGTATTAGTACATTCATGCCAGTCAAGGCTATTCTTTATTGTCTCACCTACATTTCAAAAAAGGCAACAATTGTTTAGGATTTTTCTCCAACAAAGATAAAATTAAATACTCCTTTAAAGAGAGATGTTTTAGCTATTTCTGACAATATTTTCCTGTTTAAACAAAAATTAATACACTCAAGAGCTTTCTAAAGAATGTATAGTGCATTTTAGGACAGTTACCGAGTCTGTATGGAAGTCATGTTTCTTTGAATGATAGTTTATATTCTATAAATATGTGATATTTCATCCTCTGTAAAATGGTGCTAGATAAAGAAGATATTCCTAAAACTTTGATTTTTACCTGCCATCTCTTTCCCCCTCTCCTTTTTAGGCTGTTAGGTTTAGTTGAGCAGCTACACTAAACTGAGAGGAAACTGATTAGTAAGTTCTCCATTCTGTATAGACTGTCAAAACACAGTAAGTTGTCCATCAGGAAAAACGCATCATTCACTCACAAAGAGACTGAAAACCCTAACAGAGATGGGAATTCATGGCCAGATGAAGACCCATGGCCAGATGAATGTTCCCAGATTAAGCTGCACAAAGAAGCTGCAGTTTAGCCTTCCATGAGTATTTTAAAACTGACTTTTCTACATCTCAGTTGTACTATTATTACAGTATAAGAAAAAGAGAAGTGAGAAAGACATAGAAAGTGAAAGGATGCTGGACAGGAACTTCTATGAAACCACACTCCTTCAAAGATTTGCATTACTTAATGTATCTCTAGAACGACAGATCTTGTTATGTTCATGGAGCTGTGAGGGCTATATTCTGTTAACTTAAACTGCTGTCTCAATCAACTTATCAAAGGGTTTAGCTGAGAGAATAACGAGGAACAAGAGATGGGCAGTTTATGTACATCCATCACAATTAAAAAAATGTTTGAATTACGGGACACATAAGTTTGGAGTATTCTAATCACAGCTGCAAGGCACAGAAGGAAGAAAACAATGGATTATGTTTAGCTATCCCTATTGTTAAAATTTGCATTTGAAACTGCACAAGGGGCAGTCAAGAGTTTGTTTTTTTAAGACTTTCCCAGACATGACAAGCTACAGCAAATGGATGGATAACTCATGTGCCTTCGTATGGCACCTATTATTTTACATGTAATGTTTGTCCTCAAAGGTTATTTTATTATTCATTTTATTAATCCTTATTAACATTAAAGAAAGAATACTAAAATACTTTTTTCTGGAATGTATAAATGCTGTAGCTAATCATTTCCCAACAATTATCATAAAACAGCAGTGACATTTTCAGCTCTTCAAAATTATGCAAATTATTGAGTGGGTAAGTACAGTAGCTCTTTTCTCTATTAGAGCACTGCTGTTTAAAGTGGCATTGCATGTCAAGGAGGGTAAGGTGTGAGTAGTTTGATTAGAATTATCTACCCTCCACCCCCATCTTTCTCTACTTCATGCAAGTACATGGTATAGACACCCACTGTCCTTTATTAAATCACATTTGCATTTGTAAATTCATGGAGATGGGCTAAAAAAAGTACTAAAAGAAAAGTAGGCAATCCAGGCCTGCGGTGATTTTTATTCCAAGGCACCATCATTCAGTGTACAAGTGGGGAGCCTACATACTTGCATTTATAGCATGAGTAAATGAAAAAAAAAAAAAAGAAATGAAGATTTTTAATATTAAATCTAGCCTGGATTACTGGATTTTGAACACAGAAGTTCATTTTACTATTCATAAGTGTCGTGGTTTAAAACCAGTCAGGCAATTCGTTCACTCACTCCCCCCGTTCTTGCCCTCCCCCTACTCCCAGAGGGACAGAGGAGAATAAAAAAGAATGCAACTCCCACGGGTTGAGATAAGAACAGTTTAGTAACTAAGGTATAACACAAATCACTACTGCTACCACCAATAATAATAATGATAAAGGAAATAACAAGGGAAGAGAATACAATACCTCAGCACCCGCCGACCGATAACTCGCCCCACCCCACCAGACTGAGCACCAACCGATACGTCCTCCAACCCCGTAGTCCCTAGCCCTTCTCGGTAACTCTCAGTTACCTCCTGGGCATGGCGTGCTGTGGTATGGAATACTTCTTTGGTCAGTTTGAGTCAGGTGTCCTGTCTCTGCTTCCTCACGGCTTCCCCTCCTCCCTGGCAGAACATGAGGCTCAGAAAGTCCTTGGTCAGATTAAAACATCGGTGTTATCAGCTCTGTTTCCAGGCCAAAAGTCAAAATACAGCACTGCACCAGCTACTAAGAAGGAGAAAAATGACTGCTACTGCTGAACCCAGGACAGTATGACAAACTCTTTTTCTTGTCATAAAGTATATGGTTATGGATTTACTCAGCTGAGGGGTGGTAGAGCTGAATGACAAAACCAGAAAGAGTGGATCATTGTCTTTTCCCTTTTAGCTCAGTTTTGAACTGGTAAAAATTCATTTCCATTCACGAGGAAGTCAGTTTCATAGGTGATGGATAAAAAGCATACACACTGTTT